GCTGTGGCAATTGCACAGCTTTGCTTTATAAAAATCATTTTAAAGAACCTATTTTATGTCTTATGCATCAGTGAAATAAACTTTTACCTAATTTTATAATCCTTTGTGGATTTGGAGGTGATATTTAATTAGATATCTAGAGCATTTGCTAGAAAGGGTAAAGCCAGCCTGCTAGTGAGATGGAGAGGCAGAAAATCTCTTCTCCAGTATATTTGCATCCCTTTATTAGTGAGAAATCCTATATGCCTGTTATTATTTCATCAATTCCATTTGAACCACATTTTGGCTTCAGTCTGTTCTATTCTACATAATCTACTTTTTCAGTAAATCTGTTTCAGTCTGCAGTACCCTCCCAAAGTAAAAATAATCCAGATAGATGATGATAAGCCATATTTTAGTCTATGAGATACGTTTTCCATTACTCTCTTTTTGATCCTTCTTACAGTCAAACCTCTTGTTCAATCACCCTGCCAGGCAGTAAAAAAAGGGGGAAGAGATGGCCTTTTAGCCTAGGTGAGATGAAACAGCTGTCACAAAGAAATGCAATTGTATATTTTCTGCCAGGACACTGTATTGCCAATTGCTTGACTTAGGGAAAATGGAAGAAGGAATTAGTGAAAGCCTGCAGTGCAGATTTCAGAGGTGTTTTTGTTCTTTTCACTGCTCTCTCTTTATCTTTTCTCCTGGCAGGGCTTTCTCCATCATGCTATGACAATTTTTTTGGCACTGGTGTTGAATGTTGAATACAGATGCAGACATACTGATACAGTTGTGAAGCCTCTGGGATTCTGGGTGATAGTTTTGGGCACTGCACAACTTCGGAGTGTGCCTTGTGTGACTTCAGCCTCCCAGCTGAACCTGTGCCCAGGCTGATTCTGAAGATGTGTAGTGTCTACTTTGTGTTTCAGTTGCCAGACACTGCACATTTGTGTGTATCCCTCAGTTCTCTGCAATTCTACTTTTTGTGCTGTTGTACTACAAAAAGACAGAAAGACTGAAGCAGGTGAATGCTCATGGAACACACACAGCATATATTTATATTGGACAGGTAACAGGGCATAGTGTCCGTCTTGATGCAGTCAAAGCAAGCCCTAAATTCTTATCTTCCAGACATTTTTCTTTGGTTTATATGAAGAAAATAAAAAATTTTTCTCTTGGTTTGGATCCTTCTTTTGTGTATTTGCCTTGCAGGTTTTAACAGTGTAAGATTAGCACATTTATAACTGTTGCCTACCTGTACAAATTTCAGAAAGATTTCTGCTCTCACTTGCTTCCTCTCTTGTTTTACCTTTCCTGGTGCCTTCTTTTGTCTCCTGTGCAACATAAAATTGGTGCCATGAATATTGTGAAATGCTGAAGGGCAATGCTGGCCTGAATATGGACAGTTCTGACAAATGCTTACCAGGGTGGAGTCCAACTGGAAAAAGAACTTTAGACTAAAGATTGTTTTTCCAGATTGAGCATCTCTATTGCTGAGTGGAGAAACCTCCACTGCCTGTTACTTTCAAAACAAACAAACAACAAAAAAGCCTCCCCTTACCTCCCCCTCCTCCCCACACCCCAGAAAAATTATTTCTGGAGATATTTGGGTATTATTCAGCAGGTTAAGAATAGAAGGAGGTCTTGTAAAAGCTGGGGAGCATTCAGCAGGTGAGAAAAAACAGTTCGGGTGTGGAATGAGAGCATATTAAGGAATTATTACCTACATAATTTGAGTACATAAATTCACAATTTCTCTAACTGGTAATTTTACTGTTTCTCTTATTACCATTTCAAGTAATAGTCAAGAAAACAGAATCTCTTGTGGATTCAGCATTGTCCTGGTCTAGTAAAAAAATTCACATGTATTTACAGAAATAATTCCAGTTTTAAGACAATGTGTGGGAAAATTTGTTATTTTTTAAAAACTTTCTTATTTAATAACAGCAAAATAGGTCTCTAAAGCATGTTTTGGTATTTACTGTTTTCCATTAAATCACCAGAAGTGCTGTGGGATTTTATTCATGATTTAAAATGCATTGGTTGAAAGTTGGCATATAAATTGAAGGTATAAGACAGTACACAAGGGATGGCAAATTTAGTACCTTTAAATGGTGAAACATTTTGTTCACTTAATTAGTTAAGGAAGGATAAGTTAAGTTAGAAAAATGAGTGTAGAAAATCAGAAGTGAAATTTAGTGCAAGTGTCCATCATAAATAAGCAAGAGTAAGCCAGATTTGGTGTTTTAAGAGATTTTAGCTTGCATTTTCAATCTCTATTTAATTGATACATAAATCAATTAATTACTGTCACAAGACCCGAGGGCAGCAGGAAATTGGGTTCAAATTAAAAAGAAAAGGAGGCAATTTGTTTTAAGATTGAAAGTTGAATGTTCAATCGAAGTTTAATCAGAAGTGACCCATTATTTCAAAAGTAGAACATCAATGTCATTCTAATTTCACAGACTGCTTCATTAAATGAGTATTGAAAAGACCAGGTTAACTGATCATTCCAAAAGGAACAGGAGACAAAGGAAACTCACTTCCAGATACGTGTTACACTTGTTCATTTCTCTTCTGAAGAGTTCTTAGAGATACCAAATACATTCATTGAGAAATTAAGGATTATTGGGGTAATCCTTTGTAGATTGTAAAGTTTGTTTGATAGAAGCATAACTCCATATCAGAAGAGAAAGTCTTCTTAATTCCTTTGACCAACCATGAACTTAAAGAAAAATTATCAGAACATGGTGAAAAGCATAGGCTTTTTCATCCTAAATTTTTGGATGTTTCACAGTGGTCTGACCTCTAAAAGGTTTTTCCATAATTTGACACCATCTCCAGAGCATTCACAATCCATTGAAGGCTCTGCCCTCTGAACAAGGTGAGGGTGATGCTAATGCCTGGCCGGGGCAGAGGTGATGATTTGTGTTTAGGAGGTGAGGGTAGAAGAAAATGAGGACAACAACTGCAGCTGTAGCTCCTACTGTAGGTGAAAAGCTTAAAGGAATAATACTTTTTAATGCTTCTGGATTGGCAAGTCATTCTCTTGGTGTGCATTTACTAGAAATTTGCTTAGCAAATTGCTGTTCAAAAAAAAAGCCAAAATACAATACTCGCTTATTGTGAGCTTGGTGAAACAAGGACAGAGAAGTGTGATTCAGTTTCCAGCTCTGCTGTTAAAGGCTGAGAGGTGCTCTGGGAACATCATCTGGATGCTTCTCTGGGCACACAAATCCCCATGCTCCCTGGGACAAACAGTGGGTTCTGTTAGTTGGGAAGCTCATGCAGCTTTCTCTGATGAGCATAGTGCATGAAAAATAGCAAAAGGCAAGAGAAACAAAGTTGGACTTTCTAGCAGTTCTTTATGGAGGAACTTGTTACGAGAAAAAAAGGCAAAAAAAAAAAAAAAAGCAGCCACAGCTGTTTTAAACATTTGGTTTTACAAGTGTACAGCAAGATGATTTCAGATTTCCAACAGCAATCCTTTTCGAGATCTTTGCAAGCAGAGACTTGAATCCTCTCAGGAACAAAACAACTCATCACTTGTGATCTCCACGTTGTTCTGCTTCATTTGCTGATGGTGCCCGAGTGTGTTGAGCTCTCCCAAAGGCAGAGGCTGCTGGTTCACCTGGCCCAGGTGGGGTCTGGAGCGGGGTGGGAGAGGAGCCAGGTGAGCCGTGCCTCCCTGCTCTCCGGGCAGCTGTCCACCAAGCTTTCTATTCCAAAGACATTTGTCTGGATGGAGCAATGATCTGACCTTGTGTAGCAAATCTAAGTTGGTAGTCACTCCCTTCCCTGACTCTCGGTGAGATACTCAAGAGTGAATATAAATAATGCAACTCTCCTTAAGTTATTGATTGCATTTATGTGACTGATGATGAGCAGCATTAGCACCACCACAGCAGAATGAGGGTGTTCCTCAGCAGCCCCCCAGTCAAATGGCACAGCTCTGTAAACTGCTGTGCAAACCTGAAACAAAGATGAATAGTTATGAGTTAATGCTGAAGTATGTGTTTTATCTTTGTAATAAATGACTTTGTGCATATTCTCCCCGAGATCTAAAAAAAACCCAAAATTCTGAAAGAAAAAATTACTTCATTTATTTTTATGATGTTTCTGTGACAAGTTATGCAACACATAGATGCATCACTGAACGCAAAAATTTATATGATGTGGTGCTAATTATATATATTTTTAAAAAAAAGTGATGGGGGTTTGCTACCAGAAATAATCTCCTAGAAATGCATGGAAATACTGATAGAATATTGATCATGAAGGCATTAATTTATAGAAAAATTTAGCAAGCAAATCTACCAGCAATGTCATGTAATTCCTGTTTTAGGCATCTGGGCACCTTTGAGGCTTAGAGGTCTGTTTAATATTGTTTTGCCTTTTTTTATTCCAGTCCACTTTTTTGGTATTGGTTTCTTGTTTCCTTGTGACAACAAATTTGCAAATAATGTCTTGCTTTTTTTTTACAGTACAAGAAGAGATGAACATTCTGTACAAACAATATATTAGATTGTCTGTTGTTAAAATAATGGTGAACCTGAAGTATATAATTTTAGGGAATTGACAAAAATCCCTTATTATGTAGATGATATAACTGGATAGAGAAGTAGGATGGTTGCAGAAGATAAAAGAGGATTCCTTGATTATTGTTGTTGCGTTTCTCCTGAAGACTTAAATCATAACATAGTTAATAAAATGTCTGATTGCTGCTTAGCTCAGAACAAAGTTGTGTGGATTTTTTTTTTTTCTTCTGGTAGGCAAAATTTTTAGCTGCTTTGAGAAACATCATTACAGAGATAACTGCCATTCCAGAAATAAAATCATGACACTTAGAGGGTTTTTGCTTTCTTTGGGGGCTTCGAATCAGTTAATGAGATCAGTGAAACAAGTGTCATAATCATCAAAATTTAAGAAATATTTGGAGGGTTTTTCAACAAAATTCAATAACCAGTTGAAGGAGGAAATCAGTGTGGAATCCTAAAAAGCCCCTTACTTCTTTCTCACAGAATTCCAGCTTTCTTTCTGAAGCTCTTTTTCCTGTACATGCAACAAAAACTGAAGAGCTGGATCCCTCCTTCAGCCTGCACGAGACCATTGCAAAGGTAAGAGAAGTGGAGATCACATTTATACATACTTTCCTCTTGAATTTGCTAATAATTTTGAAATATAATCTATTTATTTCCCTGTGAATCCCTTGAATATAGTTTAAAATTGTGGATTTCTCTTCACTGGGATCCACGTTGGGAATATTCTTTACATTGGTCAGCTTGTGTGATGGAAGCAGTTTCATGTGCAAATGCTTCATTTGAAACTGTAACTTTTTATTCTTATTTTTCACTGCATATCACTCACAATCTGCTTTGCTTGTATGGCCACTCAGGCTGGTGGAAAAGCTTGTGTTGATTTGAGGCCCTTCATCTCCATTAGGGAAATAGGATTTTAGTGTTTCTTAGGTTTTTCCCATGTATATGGGTTGATACTAAATGTCAGTATAAAAATTTCAGTGTAATTTTTACATGGAGATTGGTGTAAATACTAATAATCTGTGCCTTGTGCTCTCTGATGTTAGTGGGTACCCTAATTTCATGGGCACTGAAAAGGAGGAGATTTCTGAATGTAGCAGAAAAAATGAACTAGAGATATGCAGCTATTAAACAGATGAATTGGTAATCTGAGTGCTTAGAAGATCTAATTTGTCAGAACAGTTCTCAGAACAATTCATATTAAGATCTTGGCACTGAAAAGGTGGATTTAGGGTGGATTGCTGTGAGAACCATGCTGATCTAAAGCATTCAAAGAAAGAGAAATCTCTAGGCTTCCTAGTGGTAAAGAACTGAAACATTCAGTAGAGTGATCCAGTACTAAACTTGGTGGTATTTTAAATTAGATTTGCAGACCTTGTAATTTCAATATAATAATGTATATAATATCAAGTATTAAAACTGAGGAGTGTGTGCCTGTATGGCTGAAAAGGGATTTTCCCACCTGACCAGGAGTCAGTTAAAACTCCCTTTTTATCAAATGCACACTCAGAAAAGTATGTGCTATTTTTAAATTTCATCAGTGTTACTCAGCACAGCATTTCATGATAACCAGTCAATTCAGTGATTAACCAGTTTGAAAATACTTTTATATCCACTGTCTGCTCACCAGAGCATCCCCGTAAGACTGGGATCATGCAGTTCTGAAAGCTGGAATGGCAGACCCCTGACATAATTGATTTTATGATGAGTTATGGGTGCTGACAGATAACTCTTGAGAAAATTATTAGTGAACCTGATTATTCTACACTCCAATTATGGCATCGCATAAAGTAGAACTTCTCTAATGCAATTAACTTCTAAACATTAAACAGAACAGCAAGAGGGAGGAGTGTTTCCATTTCTACAGAAATAAGGAGGTTTTATATAACACACTGAGATATTTCAATTTTTTAAAAATATAAACACTTCCAAGGAGATGACAGGGAGGTTCTCTTCCTGAAGCAAATGGAATGAAAAGTATGTAAATGTAATGAAGACACTGCTGGACTGTTGGTAAATGAAATTCACATTTTGACCACAGATAAGGTGCAGCACAAGAATGTTGACTGGTGGCATTTTCTAACAGGATTATACTGTTCTGTTCTTTTGAAGCATGGAAGGGATATATATTCCCATTTATCCATGTTTAGTCCCATTAATTTTCTAATATAGGAAACACTCTTTCAAATTGGCAATGCAGTGACATCCATCCATAACTTTGGAAGTTTCTTTCTCTGTAATCTTTCTAAAAATGAAAATCTGTAGTTTGGTGCATGCTACCGCTGCCTGGTATTTTAATCTTCCTGCATGATGTCTGCAAATGAGCTTGGTTTTTTGGTGTTTGTTTGTTTTGGGGGTGTTTGGTGTTTGTTTGAGTTTTTGTTGGTTTGTTTTTGCATGCCAAAATAATGCAACATCTTTAAATTAACGTGAAGGTCTCAAACTCTTAAAATCCCAAAGACTTTTGGGATTTTACTGATTTTGAATTAGTAGAATAGTACTGTGAACAGAATGTGTGTGTGGCAGAGTTTTACCAGAGGCATTTCTAACAGTGTATTATTCCTGGTGTAGGTATTTCAACAGAGTACATGCACATTCCTGTGTTATTCCTACTGTATTGTGCCCTTTTGGGAATCAGATCATTCTTGAAAAGGTTGTGCCTGGGCATGCCAACAGCCTCTGCATTGAGGCATCTCTACATCTGTGCATTCCACTGAGGTATTTTCTGCTTTCATTTAGAAATTGCCTCCGTGTGGAGACAGAGGATTTGGCAGAATTGTTAGAGCAGCAGAGACACAATATTACTCCAGCCAGAATTACAGCACCTAAAGTGTTAAAGGGTTTGTTTGGTATGTGCAGAACTCATCTCATTGAGCAAACAGAAGTCTGATGCACCTGAAAATATCTCATATCTCAGAAAACCCTTTGTCCTTGCAAGGCCCAGGCAGATACATGGCAACCTACCCCCATGTCACTGTGTGGAGTGCTGTCTGGATTTGGTTTGCTTTGATTTCCATCACAAAAATGTGGCACTTTGGAGTGTCCATTTTCACAGGTAATTTCTCCAGTTAGCTTTCTTCAGTAATGTATTCTGTTCAATGTAATTTTTAGAATTCCTCTCTTAGTCACGTGTGCCAGACTTTCCCATCATCTCTCAGTCCCTTCATCAAAAGCACAAGTTCTGCACAGACCAGCAGAGCTCTCACATCTCCTTGGAGGTAAATTATGTTATGATTTTGTTATTTCAAGACAAATTATTCAAGCCCCCAGTCAACAAGCAGGAATATGGACTGGGGTAGGTGACAGAGATGCGGGATGGGGTTAACAAAGAAGAAGAACAGATCTCAGTGTGTGAAGTGAGGGCCAAGGTGGGGGCCTGATCAATATCCATATTTCACAGTCTGCTGTTGATACTGAATTTTTAGATGTGGAGTTTGATCTTCTTGTGAATCTACCAGAAATGTCTGGGGTACAACTTTTGTGCTCTGTCACATGTGAGAACATGGTTTTTGGGCTGAGAAATTGCACTATGACTTGGGGCATCTCTTCATTTTTCTCTTTGTCTTTCACAGATGTCAGCAATTCATGTTTTTTTTTAGACTTCTCATTGCCCCAAGGTGATGGAGCAGCATAGGTGAAGTGTAATGTGCCAGCTGCTCTAGTCACTCCCTAAGATAAATAATTTGCTCTTTTTTTCTGACCAACACCTTACACACTGGCTCTGAGAATCTTACTGGTATTTATGATTTGATGGTATTTGAGATGTTCAAAGCACAGCTCTGTTGTCTGTAGTGACACTGTGAATACAAACAAAGCCAAACTTTGTGTTTTCCTGCAAAGCAGCACAGGCACCCATATTTCACAGGAATGGTTTGATTTAGCACATATTTTCTTAAGCACACAAGTGAGACTCTTTTTTTTACCTTTAGCCTTCATGCCATATGAAAGAACATATAATATGTTATATAATATTACATGAAAGAACATATAATCCAGTTCAGGCAGAGGGTAAATACAAACCTGCTGGAAACTCCCTTCTACCAATGTCTGGTTTATTCTGTGGCTATTGTCAGCAGCAACAAAAGCAAGAGCAAATCTGGTGATAGAATCTGGCACAGTAACTTTGTAATTGTAGCTAGTAATTAATTCTATTAATTGTGGTGAATAGGAAAGTAACAACATTCAAAAGGGGGAAAAAAAAAAAAAAAGCTGTCTGGGGATTTTCTCAGCATTAGATGTGAGAGAAGTGATTTTGCTGCTATGTTTGGCCAGACAGCATATTCTCTATCTGCTCCAGCCTAGTTAGTGGAGATATGTTTGGAATTTTTCAGTAGTTCTTTGTTCCTAAAAGCAAGTAGCCTCAAGGACTCTTGCACTTTATACTTGAACTCTGATTGATAAAGACTAGGTAATAAAAATAAGCTGAAATTGCAGAACCCCTGGTAAAAATTTGATGAACTAGCTGTACCATCCAACACAGCTCCACTTGGTGAAGTCAGGTATTAAAAAAACAGCTCTATTCCCCTACCCTCTGAAATTTTCCATATCTTTTCTGCTGATATGTTAATATGCTTCCTTCAAAATGGAAGAATTATTATAGGACAGAACTAATTACATTTGCTCCTGTGACATATATTCATGAGGTTGTGGGAAGATGTCAAGGCTCTGCTATCACAAGATTGTTTCTGGGCTTTTTTTTTTTCTTTTTTCCTTTTTTTTCTTCTTTTTTTGAGTAATTTCAATGTAATGCTTTCAACTTAGAGAACTCTTGACAACTATGAAAATAATCAGAACAACCAGGAGCTGTGGTTTCAATGAATAAGAGAAAAATCAACAAAAAATATAGCAGCCATTAATAGCATGGCATGCATGGAAAACATCCCCATGGATTGTGTGTGAACATTCTTACCTGTTCAGTTCTCTGAATGAAAACATAAAATTATTTCTACATTTCTTAAATATTTTTGATATTGCAGTAAGACTGTATGTTCTTTTAAAAAGTTACCATTGGCTTCTGTCAAAATGTTTCTTAACCAGATTGCTCTTTGAAACCATTAGTTGCTGAAGTCCTCTTTTAGGCCTAAATTGTACCTGGCTACTCTTAAGATTTGTCTGCTAACTGTCAGTAAAAGGAAAAAAAATCATTCCATCATTTTTCAAACTAGAGCTGGAATTTAAGTGAAGGAAGCAAATCCAATCAAACCACAGGATAAGCACATCAGCTGATACATAATGTATCATCCTAAATCTTAGGATAGAAAGCCAAGATTGATGTTGTTTGTACATCTCATGGAACACCCTTTTTACTGCAAATTACAGCAATCTGAATAAGCAAAAGAAGATAGGTAGGAGTGAGAGGAAACGTTGTTTAATCCCTACTGTAGATACGAGAAAATGAAATACCATGAGTCAAAAGTGGTACTTACAATAACTGAGTAACTACTTCATTTCCTCTCCTGAATACAGAATGAACTTGTAAAATCTGATTTGTTTGACACTGTAGACAAAGACTGGAACATTTCAAAGCTGGAGCTAGATTTCTGAAGGTGCAATACAACAGATATTTGGGATTTGCTGAA